TATGCATGTGAGAGGTGGACAATGAATAAGGAAGACCGAAGAAGAGTTGATGCTTTTGAATTGTGATGCTGGTGAAGAATGCTGAAAGTACCATGGACTGCTAAAAGAACTAACAAATCTGTCCTGGAAGAAGTGCAGCTGGAATGCTCCTTGGAAGCGAGAATGGCCATTCTTTGTCTCACCTATTTTGATCATGTTGTCAGAATGGACCTGGAGAAAGATATCATGCTTAGTAAAGTGGAGGGTTAATGAAAAAGGGGAAAGCCCTCAACAAGACAGATTGACACAGCGGCAACAACGATGGGCTCAGGTATAGCAAAAATCATGGGGCTGGCACAGACTGGGTAGTGTTTTGTTCTGCTGTACAAAGGGGTGCTATGAGTTAGAGATGACTCGATGGCACCTAACAACAACAGCAACATTATAACATACTTATAACATATCTGTAATATATCTATAACATACCTATAATACAGCTATACAATAGCTATGCCCACTGCCATTGAGTCAATTCCAACTCATAGTGACACCACTTGGGTTCCTAAGGCTGTAAATCTTTACGGAAATAGATTGCCTCATCTTCTTCCCACACAGCAGCTAGTGGGTTTGAACCACTGACCTTCTGGTTAGCAGCCAAATGCATTACCCACTATAAAGCTCCTTAACATAGCTATAATATGCCTGTAATATAGTTATAATATAGCTATATATATATATACAAATGGGGAGCTCTGGTAGCATAGTGCCTAAGGACTTGACTGCTAACCAGAAGGCTGACAGTTCAAACCCATCAGCCACTCCTCAGAAGGAAGATGGGGCATCTACTTCCGTAGTGATACTGCCTTGGAAACCCAAGGAGGGGTCTCTTTGAGTTGGGTCCGACTCGAAGGCACATAACAACAACAACATATATACAAATGTGTGTGTGTGTGTAGAGAGAGAGAGTAGGTAATTATAATCTCATTTTATAAGTGAAGAAATGAGGCTTAAATGGATTAAATAATTTAACCAAAGTTAAAGTTAAGCTCACTGTGACTAAGTCAATTCTAACTCATAGCAACCCTATAAGACAGAGTAGAATGACCCGATAGCGTTTCCAAAGCTGTAAATCTTAATGGAAGCAGACTGCCTCTTCTTTCTCTTTTGGGGAGGTTGGTGGATTTGAACCACTGACATTTTGGTTAGCAGTGGAACGCTTTAATCATTATGACACTAGAGCTCCTTTAGAGTTAACAAAGGATGGTTAAATGAGCTTTATCTTGTATAGACTTCCTATTCATTGGTGTTTTTATACAGTGTTGGCTAATAAGAGACAAAGATAATAAACGTTCTTTTTCCAGAACAGAAGTGATTGAGAACATTGTTTAAAGATTTATGGCCCTACTTGGAACAGAAGGTGTAGTTTTGTTGCTAAATGACATAGAAAAAAAAAACTAAAGTTCTTTACTGACATAAAACAGATGTGAGTTCAAGTATGAGTTCTGCCCTACTTGTCTGTAGCATTTGGCAAGGTATTTAACCAATCTGAGTCATAATTTTCTCAGCTATAAAATTCTGAATAATAAAAGGTGACTTACGGGGTTATTATGAAAGTCAAGAACAAGAATATATGTCAAAGCATCTATCCCATGTTTATCAAAGTACTTAATAAATATTAGTTTCCTTCCTTCTTTCCAGAAACTTTCAGGCCCAGGAATCCATCACTGATAATATAAGCTTAGTGTAAAAATATTTATCATTTCCCAATTATAATGTTAATGATAAACGTTACTGAATTTCAATTTGCAATGCATATATAATATCAGTAGTAGCTCATCAAATGTCACTAATGAGTGAGTAATTAAAGTTTTTTTATGGAAGTCAATTCATTGCATGCTATGAATCCATTCAAAATTTAGAGGTAAAATATTTTCCATATGCTAAATATTCAGAATATTAAGGAAACTGAAAAACTATACGTAATGACTTTCATGTCAACTCCCAGTACAGTCATCACTTCTGATTCATTTGTTCATTGTACAATGAATCTCAGCAAAATGACACCATACATTGAACAGACTTAAATTTATATGCAGTTCTTTCCCTGGGCAGAAAGTGAAACAGTTTGTTTATTTGCAACTAAGCAAAGAATCTACAAAGACAATTTCATTTCAGCCCTTTCATTTTTCCAATGGTGACTCCTCTATTGTTTCACAAAATGCCCACTCTTCTTTCCCCATCAAACATATACTCCAAAAAACATATGATCAATTAATCTTCATGAAGGTATAAATGAATAAACTGAAAAACACCAAACCCACTGCCATCGAGTCAATTCTGACTCATAGTGACCCTATAGGACAGAGTAGAATTGCCCCCACAGGGTTTCTAAGGCTATAAATATTTACAGAAGCAGACAGCCACATCTTTCTCCCATAGAGTAGTTGGTGAGTTAGAACTATCGACCTTTTGATTAGCTGTCAAGCATTTAATCATTGCGCCACCAGTGCTCCTTATAAATGAATGAAAAATCTTAATGTCTTCCAGTGGTCTTTATTTACACCATAACTCGTAAGAAGGTCAATGTGTAAAAGGAAAGGAATGAGCTTCTAGTGATAAATTTTAAGCATCTGAAAAGTAATAAAAAAGGAACATGTTTAGTCATGAGAACCCTCATATTTCTCCCTAAATCAAACTAATAGGCAACCATCAGAACTTAAAGCAAATGCCTCTAAAACTTGCCTTCAGAGCAAAGAAAAGTGAAGAAAATCAAAGATACATGGAAACAATTAGTCCAAAGGGCTAATGGACCACAAGAACCCTAGCCTTCATGACCTTGAGACCAGAAGAACTAGATGATACCTACCTACCATCACTGACCTCTCTTAAAGGGATCACTGTAGGAGATCCTGGATAGAGTAGGAGAAAAATGTGGCACGAAACTCAAAATAATAAAAATAACACCAGATTTGTTGGTTTGGTAGAGATTGGGAAAACCCCTGAAATCATGGCCTATAAACACCTGAATTGATCTTATCCTCATGGTTTAAATTTCAGCCAAACAATAGACAAAACTACAAGATGAACAATAATCCAGGGAGGTATACACTCCTTAGAACAACCAACCATACAAAATCAAAAGGGCAGCATTTGCCCAGGGTCAGAGGTAGAAACGAATAAGAAAGAAGGAAGAATGGAAACAGTAAAAATAGGGAGGAAGTGGAAAAAGTGCTATTTCATTGTGGGGTTGTGGGGATTGCAATCAATATCAGGAATCAAAAAGTGTATGAACTGTTCAGTGGGAAACCAATTTGCTCTGTAAACATTCACCCAAATCACAATTAGAAGTTACAAAATAAAATAAAACTTCCTTTCCCAGCCCACCACAAGACTTACTGCATTAAGCAATGCCCAGACAATTCGTGCTGATTAGAATTATCAAGGGCCTCATTCTAGTTATGTCACCATCACCACAACTGCTTTCAAAACACTCTCCTTGGTTTCTTGGAATTCTCAGCGTGCATCCTAGAGAATTGTGAAGCCATGACTATTTCTAAAGATGCCAATGAAAGTAACAATAAGTTCACTAAGAATGGAAAGACAATTGGGTGAGATGGAAACCTGACTGTACTATTACATATAAACCAAAGCACATTCTCAGAAAGGTCATTAACAATAAAGCAAAAAGTGCATTTTGAGATCAGAAAAGTAAAGTCCTTCCACAGCTGAACAAGTCTCTGTAAAATGCTTCCCACTGGAATCTCTGCCACAAGGTTTGAAGAGTTTTTAACATGTAAGTGAGGATTCCTTTGCTTGACTTAGTTTTCCCCCCTAGAGAAGTGGAATTGGGGGAAACTGCTGAGCCTTCTTAATGTAACTTACCTGAGATCCATATCCCCATCCACCCAGAAGGTGAAAATGTTAGAGATGGTTCCCCCTGGGCAGCATCCCATGATGAGAACAGCAATAGCTTGGACTGGCTTCAGAGAGAAACTGATGGCCAGGAGATAGGCTGTAAGAGGCATGAGTCCAAATTGGCACAGCAGTCCCACAGCGATGCCACAGGGTCTTCTGATGTGCAAACATAGCTTTCGGATATCCACGGAGCATCCCAAAGAGAACATGATCAGGCCAATCATCACACCCGACACCACTGTGAAAACAAGTTGCAGGTTCCCATGTACCTCCAACCCCATTTGCAACTCCTCTTCTGAACTGTTGGTAAGGCATGCTGCACTCCTAGAACAATTTGCTCTCATCTCATCTCCTTAAGGCAGCATCACAAATGAACATCTGTAACCGATGGCTGGGCAGGTCTATCTTGCTACGTTTTGTAATAACGTAACAAAGTCACGCATGGAGAATCATTCCAATAGCTATTGGCCAGCTGGGTGATTCATTCCTAATCTGATCAATTTGTTCACGAGTGGCATTATGATAATAATTATCATGAGTATAAAGCAAATAAAAAACTGTAGTAAGTAAGGCTTTCCACTTTTATTCTTACTCACCACTAAATATTCAAGTGAAATGAGACAAGCAAACTTGTGGAGAGGAGTGACTTGGCTATGTCGTCAGTATCACATTGTGTTCCAGGAAAAGAGATTGGATGCCAAGATATCATTTCTCTGAATTCAGTAGGGATTTCAAAGAGCCAGGATGCCGTGCTTTATAGACAGAAAGGCTAAGTCCGGAAAAAACACAGTTGACTAAGCCAGAGCCACACCTCATAGTATTAGCAAAGCATTTTTGTTGGAAATATTAAAACAAAAAGGAAGTCACTTAAGGAAATGTCAGGAGGAACTAGGATAATTTCAAGAGAGCTCTGGAATTAGGCTCACAGTTTTTCTTCTTTCTATTTCTATTAGAATTAGTATGCAAAGTCAATAATTAAACACCTGCATGAATAATATGATATTAGGCACATGATTACATCTCATGAAACATGTGAAAACTCATTGCTGTAGCCAAAATACTTCAAGGGAGTTCTCACTTTCTTTTGGAGACTAGAGTTTTCTTTGAGAAGCCCTACAGCCAGGCCTCCTGGTGAAAATTGGGAATCCTGAAAAGGAATGTAGTCAGAGATTGGTCTGGAATCTAGAGAAAGGGTCTGAGGTCTGCCTCTATCCGGAATGCCCCCCAGGGCCCTAATGCCCTCTAACCTGGCACCTTTGACGAAACCAGACAAGGAAAACCATGAAACCAAACCCATAAAAAAGCAACTGCCACACCCTTTCCCACACGGTTGGTGACAAGGCACACTGTATAAATGCCTTTGCCTGTCTTAAGAGAGATACTAGCTATGCATTGTTTATTTTTGGATTAGCCAATTATTTTCCATGACAAAATGATCTGGACATGTTTACTATGTAAAACTTCAAGTTTAATATAAATGTAGAATAAAATCTGACTATCTGAAGAAAAAATAAATGACCATAAGCAAACACAGCATAACAGTTACTAAGACACAGTCCCTTGCTGGAGGTCATCAGAGGTCAGTAAAAAAGCCTGTTGCCACAAAGTCTTGTTTTGTACCTGAGAACAACACAGAATTTGTAACAAAGTTGACAGGGCTGTCAAAAGACATCTCAAAACCATCTGTATTGCATTTATAATAAGGCCAAGCAGAGAATGGGCACTTAGGAATAGGTAGGTCTTTTGAAAGCTACATGTTCCTGGTCTGATTAATGCAGAGGTATGGATAGGGCTGTGGAGAAATAAATGGAAAAGGGAGATAAATATTGTTTTTTGAACATCTACTTGGTGATGCTTTGGTGACGTAGTGCCTAAGGCATTTGACTGCTGACCAGAAAGCTGGCGGTTCAAACACTCCAGCCACTCCTCAGAAGGAAGGGTGGGCAATCTACTTCCATAGTGATACTGCCTCAGGTCAAAGGCCCAGAGGAGGGATATGATTTGGCCAAGGTTATTCAGCAGTACAGAGTCCCTGAATGGTATAAATGGTCAAGCACTTAATAACCAAAAGATTCAAATCCACCCAGAGGGATTCAAAATGGAGTCTCTTCAGTAATCACCATGTTATTTCCCTTTAGCATCTTAGTGTTTGAAAAACTAGGCACAGCAGTTTGAATTAGGGATTCTGGTGCTCTGAACAGCTCACTGAGTCAGAGTGCACCAAACTCAGGGGAGTAGAATTAGAAAGGAGAAACGGACAGGGGGAAAAAGAACAAGATCAGAAGATCTATCCTGCGGAGCATCAACAGGCAGCCAAGAAAGGCCATCAGAGAACCCCCCTGGGGGACCACCGACTGGCAGATGAAAAAGGTCATCTGAGACCTCCCTGGGTTAGGGAAGAAGACACGCCACACCAGCATTCCAGCAACCACATCAGCATACCAGCGATCACCCCAAGAATCTACCTTCAGCAACTGATTTTATCAGTAACTTAGGTTGACTAGATGCCAACGGGCATGGCCAATACCACTGAAACCTGAGCAGAGTCCATTGCTGTCACAAGAGGCCAGGCCCAGGGAGGTGCCCCCACAAAGGATCACCAATCAGGCTTGGGTCAGCTTAGTGGTATTGAGGAGCCCACGCTTAACTTTGTCCCTAATATTGGGACTACAGGTTATGTGTGGGCACTGGCCTGCCTGCTGGGCTGCTGAAACCAAGTGGATCTTTGGCACCACAGCTGGGCAGACCCAGAGAGGAACTCCGACAGCAGATCGCAGAACTGGGCAGTTGTCTTGGGTTGATTTTTTGGGGTTGAGGGGCCTTAGGAGTGGGGCTTTTGCATGTGTCTGAGCCTGGCAGAAGGTGGCCCCTTGTTAACTGGAGTCTTTGTTGAAATTGAGTTGTGGGCCTGTGAATAACAGTATAACATCATCATTAACAGCCTGCTTAAAGCACTAGAAACCACCCATAGCAACATGGAGCTTTCCTTCTTTCTCTCTTCTGCTCCCACCTTCTCCACCAATGCCCTCATTCATCCAATAGAAGAAACCACATTCAGCCACCATAATACCTCCCAGTTCAAATTCTAAGCCCTCCTTATGGCAAACAGAAGCCCATGTCCACATTCTACACAGTGATTCTACCGTCACAAAGAAAACTGCAGAGCAACCCAGCATACCTGAATTAATAACTAAAAAAATAAAATACACCAGCTTCATCTTTTCAAAATATTAAATCATAAAACCAAGACAAAACTAATTAATACATAACCAACATTTAAAGAGAACCTAAAAATGTCTAGGAAACAACAGGTGATCTCAAATCAAACAAAAAACAGGACAAAGCATTAGAATCAAAACCACAAAAAAAGATCTCGTTAAACATAGACAAGGAGGCAATAGAAAGAGAAGGAATTTAGAAGATACATTTATAGAGCTTTACAAAAGCCTAAGGAAACCCCAAACAGAAACAAGGAATACACAGACAGTTCCCTGGAAGAACTCAGGAAAATCATTCAAGAACAAAATAACAAGATTAATGTACAATCAGAACTCAAACAAAAACAACAGTTAGAAATCCAAAATACCAAAATTACTGAATTACACAACACAGTAGAAGCACAAAAGAGTAGGTTAGAACTAGTTGAAGAACACATATCCCAACTAAAAGACAAATCCCTGGACACCAGCTTGTATGAAATAAAATCAGAACTAAGATTAAAGGAAAATGAAGAGAACCTAAAAATTATATGGGATGACATGAAAAGAAACCACATAAGACTCATTGGAATTCCAGAACAAGAAGAGGCAAAAAAAAAAAAAAAAAAAAAAAAAACACTGAGAAAATGTGAAAGACCTGCTAACAGAAAATTTCCCCCATATCATGAAGGAAGAAATGGTATTTGCCCAAGAAGCCCAAAGAACCCCAAACAAGATAGATCCCAAGAGAAAAACACTGAGGCATATTATAAACTCTCCAAAACCAAAGACAAAGAAAAAATTTTGAAAGCTGCCTGGGACAAAGGAAATATTCCTTATAATAATCAAAGAGTTAGGCTAAGCTCCAATTATTCAGCAGAAAACATGCAAGCAAGAAGGTGATGGGGGATTTCCGGCAAGATGGCGGACTAGGCAAAAGGACTGCACAGACCCTCTTCAACAAAGAAAAGGGAAACCAATTAAC